ACGTGTTAATGTTGGTTCTATCATCATCACAAAACTTGATGGGCATGCAAAGGGTGGAGGTGCTCTTTCAGCGTAAGTTCTTATGGTTTTTAAAACGGTTTCTCATACTTTATATTGCTCGTATGGTTTATTCTTGTTTTATTTGTCTTTCCTGTTTCCATGTATTCATTTATTCATTAATTAGTAACTCCTCCATTTGGAAGTTTCTCATATTACGTAAGTATATTTCCATAGGGTTGCTGCAACACAAAGTCCAGTGATTTTTGTTGGCACAGGAGAACACATAGATGATCTGGAGCCTTTCAAGACAAAACCTTTCATTAGCAAATTATTGGGTATGGGCGATCTAGAAGGTCTTATAGACAAAGTGAATGAATTAAATCTTGATGATAATGAAGAATTACTTGAAAAAATCAAACATGGACAGTTCACTTTGAGGGATATGTACGAACAATTTCAAAATATTATGAAAATGGGTCCGTTTTCTCAGCTGATGGTAAGTTGTATTTTTCTAGCAATTTTTACTGATATTCCATACTTTATTCTAAAACAAATAATTATATAAAATTTTATTAACTAATACCTATGTGTCCTTTAAACATCGATGCGTTGTTATCTGTGCATACGATCGTAGATTGAAATAAATGAAGTATATTTTATTCGTAATAGGGGATGATTCCTGGTTTTAGTCAAGATTTTATGTCGAAAGGTACAGAGCAGGAATCTATGGCAAGACTAAAACGTTTAATGACTATCATGGACAGTATGAACGACTCAGGTTAATTTTTTTTGCAACTAATAATTACCCCTGATTGTGTAGAGCACATAAAATATTTATTTAAAGATAGTCTCTTAATACAAATTAATATTTATAGAATTAGACAACAGGGATGGTGCAAAATTATTCAGTAAACAGCCAGGGAGAATAGTAAGGGTAGCACAAGGTTCTGGAGTGACTGAAAAAGAAGTCAAGGATTTAATTACACAGTACACGAAATTCGCAGCCGTTGTTAAAAAGATGGGCGGTATTAAGGGATTATTTAAACCTGGAGATATGACTAAGAATGTAAATTCAACACAAATGGCAAAATTGAATCATCAAATGGCAAAAATGATGGACCCAAGAGTTTTGCATCAAATGGGTAAGCCATTTGTTAATTTTATAAATTTCTTCTTTATCTTCATTATAGCGTTCTACTAATGCTATGAATTTATGAGATACGTAGTTTTCGATAATTTTGCATTTGTTTGGTTACTAACCAGTGTGACAATGTATCTTTATTTTTTGTAATTTTTTTTCGTAGCGTTTTGTATTATTAACCGAAGTAGAATTATCTTTATTCGTTCATTTTTGTCATTATTGTTTTATCAAGTGAAACCTCCAGAAATCAATTATACATACTAGATTATACAGTATTCCTCTGTTGTTTTGAATTTTACCCTTGCTCTCTAAATCATTGTTACTGTTTACTCAGCACGAGCAATAATGATGGGCAGATCGACCTACCTTACAGCCATGTAATTAACACGTTCCTATCCGTTTGTGCAATAGTGTTATACCTATATCAGATAGAAAAAAACATTCATTATCAATTAAATTGTACTTCAGTCTTCAGAAGTATTTCAATACCTTTTTTGTAGGTGGTATGCCAGGATTACAGAGCATCATGAAGCAGCTTCAGCAAGGTGCAGCAGGTGGACTTGGAAACTTAATGGGTGGTTTTGGTGGAAAATCGTGAGAGTTAGCTCAATGATGAAAAAATTCATTGGCCAGATTCACTGTCGGTCTCTGATATAATTCTTCGTTAAACATCATTAATAAAGGAGAGGAAGGGACTTCGAAGCCGTGACTTTTCATCGAGGATGATCTCTTAAACAAAAAAATAATAAAAATCTAGAGGAAATTTTATTATTTATGTTCAGAGATTTTTCTCAACGCGAAAAACAAATAAAAAGAGATTTTCTGTACTATATGTACTCCATTTGTAGTTCTATACATATTTCCTTTGATTGAATATACTTCCTCTAGGAGCATAATGACGATAACAAACTTTCCTGCTAACGATTCTCGTGTAGATCCTAGATATAAAACAGAAGGAAACGGTATAAGTGTAGTCCCACTCTTGCTTTTATTACCAAATGTGTAAATACTAAATCAGAAATTTATAATCACTGAAATCATTCAGTGGAATGAGTGTGTTTATATCAGACCCAAACCTACAAAATGAAACAACCTGATGATACAGAAATTTCAAGGAAAAAGAATTATGTACATTTTGTTTCTGCATATTAATTAACTAATTTAAACGCAAAAATTAATATTACTCTGTCACAGTGTGTTACAAATGATGGAATCATTCCAAGTCATTTATTCATAATTTAAGTTACATTTCGTGAAAAATAAGCAAGCGACCAAAACTCTTTAGAGATAGTGTACGTTTACATTGTGTTCATGTTATAACATATTAAGCTATATTTAATACAATTTAATTTCAAAATTAATGGAGAACCTAATCGATGAATAAAATATTTGTAAATATTATTTCACTCTTTAGTGGCAATCTATAACCAAGAGGTTTCATGCAATAGCAATAGTTATGACCAATATACGGGATGACCCTAAAATTTGGGGGGTCCTTGAAAGGGGTTGTTCCTGGGGGGGGGGGGGGGGGTTTTGACCATGTGTGGTGGCGGCGAGCCCCGGCGGGCGCCCGCGGGGGCGGGGGGGCGGGGGGGGGGGGGGGGGGGGGGGGGGGGGG